CAAGGCATCATATCAACAAATGTTGTTGTTCTTATTTATATTGTACATGGGATTTTAAGGATCAGAATTGATTGATTCCCCCATTTTCATTACCCTCTCTTTCCACAAACATCACCAACTGGAAATAAACTACTCACAATTGATGATGATGTTATTCATTCAGTCATGTCTAACTCTTGGCAATTCTATGGGCCAGGTCTCTCCATGCCTTCTAATCTTGCACTGTTTCTTTGAGTTGTTCTCTGCACTGGCTGGTGTCAGCTCTTATGGTGTCCAGTCACTGAGTTCTTTGGCAGTCTGGTTTCCTTTTACTGCTAACTCTTCCCAACATAATTGCTTTCTCCAGTTACTTACAGTTAACTTCCCTTATTGGGAGCTTAGATAAGTTTGGAAAAAGAGACCACATTTTATAAATGGTTAGACTGATAAGTTTAGGTGTCCATCAAAACCTGTTTTAGTTTTTATGATGGTTTTGCATGGATGTATTTGGGTGGGACGTAACTTATCAGTTGATTTGCACCTGTTGTCATTAGGCTGTTTTTGGACATAAATTTAGTATTATTCCTCAATGGTGCTATTTTCAGACTTTGGAATAGCAATATTCTGGAATCATGCTAAGCTCTCAATCCATAGTCAAGTTTCTTTTGGACATAGGTTTAGCACAATTCCAGAAATGTACTGAATTAGTATTCAAAAGCAACCTGAACAAGAGATATTATAGAAAGTTGCAAAAAGAAGCATTGTAGAGAAAACCAACTCTTTGTCTTCCCTACTTCATCATGCCATATTTTTGTTACCTCCATCCATCAAGTTCTAATGGGTTGATCCAGTTTTCTGAATCAGATGTCAGTAGTTATCTGACTGAGGATTGACTTGTCAAGCGAAAGCTGTGGAGGGAAAGCTTGTTGTGAATTAATTTGACCTTCCTTCTGCCTAAAGCCGAATAGCTTGGAAGGCTGTGCAGGCATTGAAGAGGAGGTTAGGGTTAGGGTTAGGGTTAGGGTTAGGGTTAGGGTTAGGGTTAATCATGCCCAGATCAATAGGCACTAAGTTGTTCCCATCTCTTAGGAACCACTTGATACTAACACTGTACAAATGAACACTGAAATATAATCTGATTATATCATCAACATTCCATTGATTCTTACTATAAAGCTTTTAGTATATGTTACACACAGCATGTATGCACAAGAAAAAGAGTTAACATATTGGTTTGCAGAGTTTGGCATTAATTTTAATCCCAAACAAGACAGTTCTACAGGTAAAATATAATGATGATTTTCCATTCTCTGAAGCCATGGAAAATTCAGGTGAAGGTGATACAATCCAAGCCAAAGAAAAATCCAATTCCTTTCTAAAACTGGTCTGTTTTATTTAGTCCTTTGAATAAATTGTTCTTGTGGGAGTGAATCCAATATATTAAAATATTTTGCAACTAAAAGTCATTTATATCTGAGCTTCCAAATAATAAGCGTGGAGCATCTTCCAGAAACCGCAGGAAATGCCAATCATTTCAACATACAAATAGATTCTGGAAATTTGGCTGCAAGTTCCCAGTTCATAAGGAGTTTAAATTGGTTGGGCAGGAATATTTTTTTCTTTATTGAACATAAAAATACAGCAGGTAAATTTATAGGAATGGTCACATAGGTCTGAAGGAATGCTGCAGTGTTTGTTGCCAAGAAACAGGATTTGTCTTTTAAGGCCATGCTGTAATTTTAGCAATTGAACACCTTCTTCTTTAAATGGGTTGTGTAATAACAGAGCAGCAGGCTATATTCTCTGCTTCTTGGTTCCTGAAGTCTATTTAGGTGAAACAAAAAACATGCAACAAATGATATAAAAAGGAACTAAATATATGTTTTGCTTATTGTATTATTATCTTTTAGTATATCTGGTATTATATATTATATTATATTATATTATATTATATTATATTATATTATATTAATATATATATTCTTATATTATATTATATTATTATATTATATTATATTATTATATTATATTATATTATATTATATTATATTATATTATATTATATTATATTATTAGGTGTGGTGTGGTGTATGGTGTGGTATCATTGCATTGCATTGCATTGCATTATTATATATATAGCAACCTTGTCCTCATGTTTCAAAAATGCCCTTTAAAAATTGTTATCAATACAGGGCAAAGTTTATTTATTTATTAAATTTATATGTTTCATTTGCCAGGTCTAAAGAAAATATGTATTTTATTAATTAATTCATGTGTTGCCTCACTCACCAGTAAAGTAACTTAAAAGCATTGAAAAAAGAAATAAAAAGAGTTATTCTTGTCTCCAGCTCATACCAATATCAATTTACATATCACAACACAACTAAGGTCTTTGGTCATGACTGTTTCATGTGTAAGGGGAACATTTGATCCAAGGTATTTGGCTGCAAAATTGGTTTACTTTGGAGGAAAGTAAACTGTTAGAAGAGTGCATGCATGGAAGATTTTTTTGATTTATTGCACATAGAAACTTTGCATTTATTCACCCCTCCAACTTTACTTGTGTTTGGCATCCATGCATTTGTAATCAGCTGCATTTACCTGCATTTTTTTATGCCACATTTATATTGCACTACCATTTTTTCATTCATCATGCATCATGGCTCCTCATCTGTTTGGATCAGCTATGGCATTGGCATATTGTCCTTTATCATTTGTTGATTCCTTAATTTTATCTCTTCATCTAATTATATGTATTGGAAGCAAATTATTACCTACAATCATTTACACAGCATGTTGGGCTTTCATTATTCATTAGTTTAGCATTTTGCATTTTGAAGTGCAGTGTGATTGATGGTCTTTGTTTTTAATTATGCATGGGATAGCCATTGTTGCTGAGCACTGCCGTTCTGCAGTAATTTGCTGTAGGCACCTTGAATACTTGATTATTTTTTGAATTTGCACTGCATTCAAGCTTTTTTTGACTTGCATTGATAGCATATTTCATGTAATTTCTTGTTAGTTTTTTTAGCTTGGCAACTTGCACTGTTTCCTCATTATACCAGTGTACTTGTGCTAATTTTGTGTGGCTACTGTGGCACTTGCAGCCTTGGGTGCATGTACATTGGCTAGTTATTAGTCATTGGATGATGGTTGTTGAAATTGAGTTTGATGCCTTTTGGTCAATGAAATGCACATTCTGAATGAGATTAATGAACATGCATAGTTGCAAACTTGCTGAATGCATGTTGTAACATGTATATATTATATTATATTATATTATATTATATTATATTATATTATATTATATTATATTATATTATATTATTAGGTGTGGTGTGGTGTATGGTGTGGTATCATTGCATTGCATTGCATTGCATTATTATATATATAGCAACCTTGTCCTCATGTTTCAAAAATGCCCTTTAAAAATTGTTATCAATACAGGGCAAAGTTTATTTATTTATTAAATTTATATGTTTCATTTGCCAGGTCTAAAGAAAATATGTATTTTATTAATTAATTCATGTGTTGCCTCACTCACCAGTAAAGTAACTTAAAAAGCATTGAAAAAAGAAATAAAAAGAGTTATTCTTGTCTCCAGCTCATACCAATATCAATTTACATATCACAACACAACTAAGGTCTTTGGTCATGACTGTTTCATGTGTAAGGGGAACATTTGATCCAAGGTATTTGGCTGCAAAATTGGTTTACTTTGGAGGCAAAGTAAACTGTTAGAAGAGTGCATTTGTCAGGCCTGGAAGCCCCCCCCCCCTTTTTTTTTTTTGATTTATATGCCGCCCTTCTCTGGAGACTCAGGGCGGCTTACAATGTGCTAAGCAATAGCCTTCATCCTTTTTGTATATTTATACAAAGTCAGCTTATTGCCCCCACACACTGGGTCCTCAATTTACCTACCTTAGAAAGGATGGAAGGCGAAGTCAACCTTGAGCCTGGCGAGCTTCGAACCTGCAGTAATTGCAGGCAGCTGGTCTTAATAACAGGGTGCTTTAGACCACTGTACTACCAAGGTTTTTTGTTGGACCTTCAGGCCTGCCACCTTTACTACTGTGGGAAACTGGGAGGGGGAATTGTGTGGAGCCAGGGTGATATATATAGTCTTAATAAAATTCCTTTCTCAGAGAATCAAGGACATCTTGCCCTGCACCTGGAAGCCTGGAACTGGGAGGCATCTCCAGTTTGGACGGTGCATTGATTGGACTATGTGATGGACTTGTGGGTGTTGGGGCAGGGACTTGAACTTTCCTTTGGGTGGAGAAAACCTGGAAATTTTCAGATTCGGGCTTTCCCAGATGTGCTAATATGATATCTCTAATAAAATGGAACTTTGAGGAACTTCAAGCCTTGGAGTGTTATTTCGTTGGGGGTGTTACTTGGAACCCTGACATTAACCCGAATCTCTTCTAAAAAATTCAGCCAGCTCCACAAATACTGGGGTGCTGTCCGGGGTTCTGAGCCCCAAACGTCAACCTGAAACAGGGTGGCGTGAAGACTCAGGGAAAATGACAGCATTTGGATTTTGTAACTATTTTAGGATTCTGGTTTGTCTCCTGGAAGAGTTAATGTGGCACAATTAAACTTTTGAGAGCCAGTGAAAAGTGTTCAAACTTGTCTTTGTTTGACTTGTGGATTTCCCTCCCCCCCAAAAAAAATAAATAAATAAATAAATTCACAGATGCACACAAGCAAATACATTACAGAAGAGTGAAACAGCTTGATAGCTATATCTATTTTCTAACACGTGGTCAAGCATACTATTTCTAATAATTATAGCAGAGAGATACTGAATAATGGATATTGGGGTGATTATAACTTAGATTATGAATTTAAAATACACATGGCCTATGGATTTAAGCATAAATATAACTATTGATATTTTAAAACTCTTTACATGCTGATGTTTTGCAAGTTTCTGGCACTTAGGGAAGAAGAAAGAGAAAAACATGAGGATATAAGATTTGTCTAATTTTCCCTTTTTTACTTTTATGTTTTCTCAGCTTTCACTGCTAGAAGAGGCAGGTTTCAAAGGGGCTCTTCTTTACATTGACCCTTGCAATTTACCAAAGTTTCAAAACCTGAGCAATAAAGCATTTATGGTGACATTGAACAGTGGTGGTGATCCTTCGACACCTGGATATCCCAGTATTGGTGAGTACTTTTCTAAGAGTACTTTTTTTACATGAAATAAACAGTAAGCTCTTTATTGCAGAAATGGTTAGTTGAAAGCATAAAACAAGTGTTACAAGGGTTTTGATGTCTTTTAACTGTCTGTGTCAGTTGCCACCTTGTGATCACTTGTGCTTCACTGCTATGTGGTGACAGACTGCCATGAACTGTGGGGAAGGATAATGAAGGGGGAAAAAGCTTGGGGAAACGAAAGTAAGATCTGTGCCTTCTCGAGATACTGTTTCAAGGTCACCCAGCTGGAAGGAGGAAGGAGCTGTATACGAAACTGTGCTTGGACCAACAGTTATGAAAAAATCTTCTCTGAACCTGATTGATTACACAAGGTGGGCAGCAGGAGACAGTTAAGGGTGTGGGGAGTAGAACTTAGGGATTTTGGCATGTGATTCTCAGTTCTGGCTTTGTAATATTGCAATATACTTGATCTCTAATAAATTATACCTTTCTCAACAAATGGAGCCAAGAATCATTTCTATTTAGAGGTTTAAGCTGTGGCAAGTCTGACAACCTGTGTTCTTCCTTCATGCTTCCAGGGCCCTATGTGTCATAGTCATCAGCAAACTGTGAATGGCGTTTAGGTTGCACATTTAAGCATGATTTAGAGATGTTTTGGGCTTTGCTTGAATGCAACTGGTACTCTATGATTCCTGAAAGCAATCCTCTTTTTTTTTTTTTTAAAGGCTTTATGGAAATCAGTTAAACAGAAATGTACATGTGTCCCAATTATATTTTCCATGTTCTGCCAATGGAAACTGTAGAAATGTATATGAAAACATATGGTAATGCAGTCTTTTGGGGAAAAAAAATAGATTGTAGCATAAATAGTATCAAACAAAATTGAGATTGGAAAGTGATTTTTTTTTTTCATTTTTTAAAAGCAGATGTACCTAAGGACATACTGGAAGTTATGAAGAAGATTTGGCCAGATATGTCTACTCCAATAAATAAATTATTTTCGCACTGCCTTTTCCTTGGTAGAAAAGTGAGAGTCTGGATGTCCACTGTGGTTCCATATTGCTAGAAACAAAAGGCTGAAAAATAATATTTCTCTCCATTTCCCTCAGTTTCAGAAAGAATCTATCTGCCGCAGTTCAGATACATAAGACCCTGTCATGCACTGTGCATTATGATAAGGCCTTGTTTTGTGAAACAAAACAACCTCTTTGTCTATGGATTTCATGGTAGAGTTCTTTCTTGTCTAATTTTAGCTGCATGGAAAATGTTGTCATGGATTATCCCTGGATTGAGACTTGGAAAATATTTAGTCACTGTCTTTTTACAGTTGTATCTAATTGAAAAGGACAGACAGCAAGTTATAATGTGGCCCTTTGCCACTAGAGATGGAAATATCACTTATAAATATTGATTATTTTGCTGGTAGGTTATTGGCAAAATGTTTTGTAAAAGAACTTGGTAGCGCTACTGTTATGAATCTAGTTCAAGATCTTGAGATGTCTGCAGCGAAGGGTCAAGGGAGCAAATGATGAAGCCTTCCATGTGCCATCATGAGCCGTGGTGGCGCAGTGATTAGAATGCAATAATGCAGTGCTAACTCAAAGCTCACTCCAGGACTTCAGTTCTGAGCGATTCAAGGTTGACTTAGTCTTCCATCCTTCCGAGATCAGTAAAATGAGGACCCAGATTGTTGGGGGTAATATGCTGACTCTGTAAACTGCTTAGAGTGGGCTGTAAAGCACTGTGAAGTGGTATATAGGTCTAAGGGCTATTGCTATCATGCAAATTTGACATGCGAATACTGAATATGCATAAAAAAGGAAAACAACTTGTAGTGTGATGGTGAGACACCTGATCCACCTTGGACAGAAGTATATCTTTCTAAAAAAAACATTGAATGTTGGTATGGGTGGCAAATGGTATCTATGAAATGTGTGTTTAAGGCCAGGAAATCAAGAGCTTCAGGCAGTTCAAATGAGTATAAAGATTTATTGAAAGCTTAAGGTCTCTACAAGAATCTGAGCTACTAACTGTCAAGGGAAAAGAATGGAAATTAAGAAGGCATTCAAGATGGGCTGAACTTAGATATCTTATGAGCGTGCAGGAATCTATTAATGCTGGCAACAGAAGATTCCCTTAAAATTTCTGTGTTTTCAGAGGTTCATCTGTTAAGTATGTCATTGATGGCCTTCCAATGCGCTTTCCCCATTCTTAAGAATTGTGTTTATTTCCCATACTTTCCATTTTTTAAAAGTATTGTGGCATTCCTTTTCAGCCAGGCCTATCAAGTTGCACCAATAATAGTAATATTAGCTGTTTTATTGTTCTTTTTAATTATAGATTAAAATGTAGACTAATATATGAACCAGAACTTAAATGATTGACCCAATGTTTGCAGTTTTGAATGTTGCAACACAGGTATCAGGGATATAAACCTAGCTGACTTCATAGGTGGATTCTATTGTGATACGCAACAGGATTTTCTACAACTTTAGTAGAGGTGGGTTTCACATAATTTTACCACCAAAAATGTGCACATCTTGCACGCATGTTTAGAAAACATGGCTAAATAGGATGGCATAGTGCCGGGGTGGGTGGCCAGGTGGGTTAGGGTGTCTGTCAGAGTATGAAAGAGTTAACAGTTGTAAGCTGAGTTGTAAGTGGAGTCAGTTGGAAGCTGATGCAACAGAATGCCTATATAAAGGAAGTTCCTTCTCTTCAAACCTTCTTCCTCAAACCTTCTCCTCAAGCCTTTTCCTCCTATATGATACTTCTTGTTCTCTCCGTTGTATCAGTAGCTGTAAAGGTATTTAACCACGTATATGTTTGTAAATAGTTTTCACTGTAGATAAAACCACTGTTAATTTATAAAGGCTCCGTGTGCTGTGTACTGTTATAGCTCCTGAGTTTATCTCATAATACTAGTTACACTGCCTAAACTCTGACAGTGTCTACCAGTTCTCCCGAACCGGTCTGAGCCAGTTGAATACCACCACTGAACTTTAGCCTTGCATGTCCTTAAAATTATTCTAGAGTAATGTTTCTCAACCATTGCAACTTTAAGATACATAGATTTGAACTTCCAAAATTCTCTAGCCATCTCGGTTAACTGGGGAATTCTGGGAATTCAAGTTCACATATCTTAAAGTTGCCAAGGTTGAGAAAAGTTCTTGTAGTGGGATTGCCCAAAACATTATGCTAGTAATAGAAATGGACAGCAGTTCAAAGATATCTTTTTCAACAACAGAATATGCCTTTCCAAAGTGAAACAGTCAAGTGGACTGCATCTCATATGTTCTTTCCAATATATAATGGATAGGACATGCATTCATACATGTTTAAAGTTACCATTTTAAAATTGTTCTTCAGACACTAACAATCTGAGTTATACAGCTGACTCTAATATCTTAGATGAAAGTAAAGAAAACTTAGAAGAGCTCATTATGAAAGTCAAAAGGGAATGTGAATTTTCTGAGTGAATGCTAAAATATGAAGAAGAGAAAGTTAACACTTTGCGAATTCGCAGTTGATAGCGGTTGAAAGAAATAAAACTGTTCCTATATATAATTTGCAGCGCACATATTCATTATTAATGTACTTAAAGCTACATGTTTAAAATGTGTATTTTAAAACAGGCAGCTCAAATTAATAATTTGACGTATAGTATACAGACAATGCCGCTATTCATCAAAGTGAAGAAGGCTTAAGACAGCACATTAAGAAAGTAAAATGAAAAGTGAAAATATTGAGAAAGATAAATTAGTGAATTTATAGCTGATGGCAAATAGCAATAGCACCTAGATTTATATACCACTTTACAGTGCTTCTACAGCCCACTCTAAACGGTTTACAGAGTCAGCCTATTGCCCCCAACAATCTGGGTCCTCATTTTACCCACCTCGGAAGGATGGAAGGCTGAGTCAACCTTGAGCTTGGTGAAATTTGAATTGCCAAATTGCAGGCAGCCGGCAGGCAGCAGAAGTAGTCTGCAGTACTGCACTCTAACCACTGCGCCACCGTGAAGATAATAATTTGTTGTCTTGGAGTAGATAAGAGGACAGGATTATGGAGGAATTGAGGACTTTAATCCTAAAGAGGAAGAGAATGTCAAACTTGGAAAAGAGAGGTTCTTGATGCTATGGTTCTATTCTTGCCGATGTTTCATTACCCAAAGAAGATAACATTTTTTTTTATTTTTTTATTTTATTTTGAATTTGTATACTGCCCTTCTCCCTGAGGACTCAGGGCGGTGAACAGCCAAATAAAAACATCAATTACAAATATTAAAATACAGTTAAAAATATATATAGATTTGGCCCCATTAATTAAAACGATAAACAAAACAATTAAATACACTTAGAAAGAATTAGGCCAGCCCGGCTTGTTGGAAAAAGAAGGTTTTAAGGGCTCGGCGGAAGGCACTGAGGTCAACATCATCAGTGCTAGTACTAGGCACTTGTTCTTGGCATTGGTACTTGGAAAAGAGCTTGAAAATAAATATATTTCAATCGGGTGGGCTGCTGGGGGTTCGCAGGCATTCAGGAGAACCTCTAGCTAAGATTCTGTGCAGTTCAGAGAACCCCCTCCCAAACCCCACCCCTGGCTGGCCCCACCCACCCCACCCTGCCCCTCCCAGGAGTCCCTACGTGGATCACTTTGGATGCAGGTAAGTGCAGGACGTGTGAGAAAGCTCAGGGAGAGTGAAAAACAGGCCTAAAGAAGTTCAGGAAGGCCAGAAATTGGCCCATTTCTGGCCTCCAGAGGGCCTCCAGAGCCTGGGGAGGCTGTTTTCGCCCTCCTGGAGGCTCGAGGACAGCCTCCAGAGCTCGGGGAGGGCAAAAATTCCATCCCTGCTGTTGGGTAGGAGGTTGACTAGGCCATGCCATCATGGCAAGCCCACCAAGCAGAGAACCCCTTGTTAAAATTTTTGAAGCCCACCCCTGATTTCAATGCAATAAGTACTGGAACAAGCTGAAGAAGTAGCATTGCCTGTATTAATATACCGCGAT